TCCAACCCGACGACAGTTTTTCAATCACAGCCGCAACTTGGAATGACTCGCTCAGAGACATTCCCTCAGCATGAATACCGTGCAAGATGAGTTGAAATTCTTGCACTTGTGACACAACGGTCTTTGTGTCAACCATTTTGAAGTCAAGAAATTTTCCGACGACGAATTTCTTCGCCCCGGCATCCTCGGTCTTGTACTTCTTTTCCAAAGCAGCCCAAAGCTCTTTGGCAGAACCAATCGAGCTGTACACATTGTACAACTCGTTACTAAGTCCGTTCAGGACATAGTTACGACAAAGGTAATCACCTTGCCCCCAAGCTTCGTACGCAGTGCGTAGTTCAGTATTGGTCTCATTTTCAGCAATAACCGGGGGGTCGTCCTTCAAGTATTTCACCAAAGCCAAAGTGGTCTGGTAAAAATGCATCTTTTGTTGCCACCTTTTAAAATCAAGCCCATTGAATTTTTCGGGCTTCTCGGCAGTAGGGACGTGGACAGCAGGTACATGATTGATCGGATGCTGAGTGTTGGAACCATTTCCGGTGGAAGCCATCAGTCCAGTAGGTTGAGTATTCTTCTTGCGATTGTTAGATCTCTGGTGTAAAATTACACGGGAATCCTACGAACTGATATGTATTTTCAGTTCTTACAAATAATCTAAAAATAGAAAATTACAAGTGAACTGAAAATTAAATTACAAATGAAAAATAAATTAAAACTTAAAAAACGGAAATATTAAAGTCGAGGCGAGTAAAACCCTTTCCGCAAGAAGAATACGCCCCGTGTGTTGCTAACGGTTCAGGCGTAACTTCCCCAAAGATACAACGACAAACGTCTCTAAATCTGTAGCACACCAGATTTACGAGCTCCGGCGAACAGAAAAGAAGTCGATAATTGAGCACTTAAAAATAGGAATAAAAATATCACTCTTTTGTTATTTCAATAACAAATAAATATTTATATATTTTTCCTTCGGATATTTTTATCCCTCCAAAATTATTTTGGACTGATTTTCTTTTCTTTCTCTTTTTCTCTCTTATGCCGTGTGTTTTTCTCTCTTTTCTCTATGTGTCTTTCTCCATCATTTCAGCTTCCTATTTATAGAGACCGCACAAGCAGAACAACTTGGCCAAATTGCCAACAATTTGTGATTAAAATACATACATATTTGTTTAATCAAGTGGAAATGGGCGGTGATTAAAATACATATATATATTTTATTTTTTAATCATCATATGGAAGTAGGCGGTGCCAACTATTGCCCAATCTGTCAATTAATCATACAACATCTAATTTATTAATTACACTCAAAATAATAACACGTCCTCCGTCGATCGCGCCGTTATTCGTCTCCCGTGACTCACCACCTCCTCGACTCTAGCCGGAATCGTTTCTGTCCGACTGCCTAGGCGCCGCCGGATGTTTCAGCTTCAATGGGGTGCTGGGGAAGATGACCAATGTGGGGAACATTTTTTTTTTAGCAACAGATTTGGGGAATTAGGGCTGTGCACATTAATTGATTTTAAGGGCCTAATTGCAATTTAGTGAACTTTTGTTAAATTTGGTATATGGATGTGTAATTTATACAAAATTTAACAAATATATGTTAATGATAAATAAATTTACAATGTATTGTGAATATATTCATGTTAAATATATATATGCAATTTATTTTTTATGTTTTTTGTTATACATATATATTAAATAATAAATGAATTATTAAATAAAAATAATATAAAATGTAAATTAATACAAAATAATTTATAATAATAAACAAATTATATAATAATAATACTAATAATAATAATAATAATAACTAATAAAATATTTAAATTATTTAAGTTAATTATTTGTATAATTACATATATTAAAAATAGTTTTCAAATACACATAATTTATATGTGATCTTATAAATTATTTCACTTTATAGAAAATCACATTTGCACTTTATAAAACAATATGTTGCACTTTATAAAACAACAAGTTGCACTTTATAACACGCTCAACAATTAACGTCAATCACATTTTGCACTTTATAAAACAATATGTTGCACTTTATAACACGCTCCACAATTAACGTCAATAATTTCAGCCAAAATACCACAAAACATAAATCTAAAAAACGGATCAACATAATATTTTGAGGAAGACAATTTATGAATTCACTTACCATAATAATCTCATTCAGATTTATTAGGTATTGCACTACAACAAACATCCTTAGTAGGAACAACTGAATATTGTGCCTATAACCATCAAAATCGTGTCTATTAACATATTGCAATGACATGTCGTTGCAAACATGTCGTGCCAATAGACGTGTGTCTATAGATCTATTGGAATGCTTAAGTCGTTGCTATAAATGTAAAAGTAATAGACACAACTTTTGCCGTGTCTATTTCTTGTCCAGCAGTTCCATGATTTTTACTAATAAACCACAACCAATGTTGTGCCAATATTGTTGTGCCTATTGGTCAAATTAATTGAAATGACAAATTGTTCCAATTCTCGGGTTGCTATAGACATTAGGAATCATAAATATTTGTTCCAAAACGATTAAAACCAAGAAAATTATTGCAATAATTTTGTGATCCAACTCAAATGAAAGTCACGTAATAAAATGATGCTGAAATAAATTTATCATTCTAATTGATTCAACCAAACTATTACATCTACAACATGAACAAATAAATATTGGTTCAATTTGTTTCTATAAACTTAAGAACTTACAAAAAAAAAAAAGAAAAAAAAATAACAGAACCGACCGGACCATAATTATTATTATTTTTTTCATATGTGATATATATATATATATATTTATTTATTTTAATCAAATGGCAATACAAAAATTTTTTTCAGTACAGAGCAATATAAAATGTCAATTAAAAAATACAAATACTAAATATGATTTTGTGCGAAAAAATATAATAATAATAATAAAATAGTTGCACTTCAAATGCAAATTAGTAATAGTCTGATTGCACATTAACGACAGTTAGATTGTACTTTATAACGGATTTCACATTAATGTCTGTCATATTGCACTATATATACTTAACCCGTCCGACTTCGTTTTTTGTGTTCGAATTTTATATCGTATCGATTATATATGTTTACCTTTAAAATGTTAGTTATTTTGGCTCGATAACAGCTTTTTTTTAGATAATCAAAATGATCAGACCGAACAAACTATATACAAAATATTATTTTTTATATTTATTTTATAATAATACTATTTTTTCAATCAAAATGAATAAAAATTTAGATAAAATATTAATGTACACTTTACATACTATTAATGTGGAATTAATTGTAGTTAACGTGCAACTTAGGTAATATTAATGAGCAAGTATTAAAAGTCTTATAAATTATAATTTGGACTCATGAAGTGAATTGTAATATATTGAATTTTATAAAATTGCAATTGAGTCCTCATACCATATCAAATTTTCAAAAAAAATGCCCCAAATTCTAGTTGGATAGGGGACGGCGTTCTCTTTTCTGCTGCTACTGGAATGATATGCTGTGGCGACAAAGGGCCGAGTGGCGGCGGGCGATGGCCGGCGCGGCAGGCGAGTGGTGGTTCTCGCCGCCGGCGGCCCGACCTGCAGCTTCTCTGCAACTTTTCTGGCGGAGATGAAATGGGCCGGTTACGGTGGTTTCAGGCGGCGATGTGGGGGATGTTGTCGTCGGCGATGGTAGTGACGTGACTGGTGTCGGCGACGGGCCGGTTGCTGCGATTGGAAGAAGATGGCGGACGGCGGAGGCGGATGGCGGTGACGAGGCGAGGTTGCTGTGGCCGGACGGATGAGGCGAAACGGCGGAATGGTGGTTGAAAGGAGGATGCGATGTGGAGGTTGTACTCGACGGCGGCGATTGTGGTGGCAGTCGACGTGAGCGCCCTCTCCGTGAGATCTGGGCGAGTTGCCGGACTCGGTGATTTGTGGCGGCAGCGGGACTGACGACGGCGGCGGCATGACGGCGGGCTCCTTGCGGTGGCGGTGGCGTGTCGGATCAGCGAACTGTGGCCGGGCTGTGGTGAGCTGCTGGCGGCGTCGGGAGGAAGACGATGGGTAAGAAGGGAGAGAGAGAAGAGAGAGGGGAGAGGAGATAGGAGAGAGAAGAGAGTGTTGTTGGAGATAATTATGGTGGAACCCACTTATTTTATTATTTTGTGAAATTACACCACTACCCTCCAAGGAATTTATTTGTCCATGAGATGGCAATATATTACAGTTTTGCCACTAGATTTGATCATTATAATTTAATCTTGACTTCATCATCACCATTGATATATATAGTTGATCTAATGATCCATGATCATTCTTATTTACTCATTCTCATATGATCCTTTCTCTCTCTAAAGTGTTTCATCCTACATTAATTACCTATCCTGGATGGACCCTTTAACTTGTTTACTTTATATTTTCGAAAGTAGTGAAGTTGTTGATTTCCGTAAGAAAATATTGTAAATTATACATATAAAATACTTTCGTAATTTATTTTTAATTATTATATTGATTATACGGGTAAAACTAAATATCGGTATAATTGAAAAATATGAGTTAAAATAAACAATTTATATATCAATATTGACCCTATATGTTAATCAATTTTATTGATATCCATATATATATATATATATCAATTATATAAAGTTGTAATATTTAATTAATATGACTGTTACAAAATAGATGGAGGAATTACTACATCATTACAACATTTATAAAGTACAATAATTACCAACGTAATTAATACAAAATGTAAGCTTGTTTTTGCAATTAGCTAGAAAAGGACCTGATTTTTAATTACTAAATTAAGAATTTCCCCAATTTATATAATGGACTGTTGTAATAACTGATTCGATCCTTCTATCTCTGTGTTTCCTTGAAATTTTAATTTTTCTCCTAATATTCATATTAATATTAATAGTTAATAGTTAATACTCCAATTATATTGTAAAGTTACGCTCGGCAAATAAAAATAACTAATAAGACATTTTACAATATCATTGACTTTTGGATTTCTGTTTATTTTTCCCCCTCAATTACTTATAATAAATAAATATCTCACACTCTATTGAGTATTGAGAGCTGATTCTCTCAGTGCATCTGCTCTGGTAGAGTCGTAATTTCTCCTACGCTCTGTGGAAAAACTCCATGACATTCACCTGAAGACAGATACCGAAAGAGGTAATATTTTCTCTACATCTCAATTCGAATTCTCTTTCTGTGGGGTTCAGTTTCATATATTTGGATCCGTTTGTGCTTGTTTTCCGTGTTTTCGGATCTCGACCGATGAATGGATCTTCGTTTTCTTGATTGTTTTTGAGTTGCTACGAACTGATTAGTGAGAATTTGACCTAGTCATGATCATGCGCTTTTGGGGCTGCGATGAAAGTCAAAGTTGGGATTTTTTTGGGGATTTTTGATCAGAAATCTTACATTTTTTAAGCCAACGCAGTAAAACGGAACTAGGAAATACTAAATTTGGAAAACTAGAACCCAAAGGACCTCTCCACTACGATTATAATCTGATAAAAAAATTTTTTGTTGCAGAATAAAGGCATAAGGTTTGGTAAAAGCTTGCTGTGCAATTGCGAATGTTCAGAAAAAGCTGATGCCAAATGTCAATAAAATTCTCAAATTGAATGAAGAAATATTGGTTTTCTTTTAGGTTACATATAGATTTCTCAGCTACCTGGACACTCTCAAATTGGCTTGGCTTTTGTTTTGTTTTGGGAGTTTTCTCTGTATGCCTTCTTTACATGTTAGCTGATATGGCTCTATGAAAATTTTGTTGGAATAGATAATAAAATCAGTTGGTTAGAAGACGGCAGCACATAATGTTTTTTCGCAAGAGCAACTCCTCGCATGATGGTGAGAGTGTTGAGCTGCAGAAGGAGCGCAAGGTAATAATAATATTTTCATGTCTTGAGAATGTTACTAGGGACATCAATTTAATATAAATAAGCTTCAGGTCGAATCAACTGAAATCAAAATTAGATGTTAGTTTCTGTTCAGTGTTGCACAGAAACTGCAATCTCTGATCGCTAGTTTCTATGCATAAATCCTTGTTAAATAATTTTTAATTTCCTAAATGTTGGAATAACAGTTCTGTTGAGTATATTGTCCAACAGAATTTAGGAATGTAACTGAGAACAAGTAAAATTTGCATGATCCTGAATTCTTGATGATATTAATTCATTTTGTTTTCTTATATTTCATTTTCTTTTTGGAAGTTGAATGAGCTTAGGGCTTCTTTGGGGCCATTGTCTGGCCGCAGCCTGCAATACTGCACTGATGCGTGTTTGAAGAGGTATCTTGAAGCTCGTAATTGGAATGTCGATAAATCGAAAAAGATGCTGGAGGAGACATTAAGATGGAGATCGAGTTTTAAGCCTGAGGAAATTCGTTGGGTATGAAAGACTTGTTCTTTTTGTTAACTACCTATAAATAGTGTTTATGATTAGTTCGTGCCACAAGAGAATAAGCTCCTTTCCTTTATTTGAGAAAAAAACTTATGGTTAGTGTCTTATACATTATGATGTTTGCTAGCATGAAGTTGCGAGTGAGGGCGAAACTGGGAAAGTTTACAGAGCAAACTTTCACGACCGTCAAGGAAGGTCTGTTCTAATATTAAGACCAGGAATGCAGGTACTTAAAAAAATGCTCTATAAGTAGTTTGATTTCCATCTTTTCCTCTCCATTAACTGTTAATTACCAAGACACCCCAGAAGTAGACTTGTCAAAACGGGCCTGGGCCCGCGGGCTGGCCCGCCCCGCCCCGCCCCGCCAAATAGGCGGGTTGGGTTGGAATTTTATAGGCCCGCCAAATGGTGGGTCTAAACGGGCTGGCCCGCACGGGCCGCGGGCTTTGGCGGGGTGGGGTGGGGCGGGGCGGGCGGGCCGCGGGCCATCCCGCCATTACAAAAAAAAATGTTTTTTTAATGTATGTTATGTAACTATGTATTGGAAAGGAATAGCGACACGCCTTTAAATTTGATTTTTATGAATCTCGTTCTCAATATTTCTCATCTATGATTTTTAATATATTTTTTTCGTTAAGTCCTAAAATTAAAAAATAAAAACAGATTAAAACAAATAAAGAGTGAGACATTGAACAGTCGCTAATGTCATTTCAATCTAGCAGCAGATGGCTTTTGCCTTGTTTATTTCAATCTGCAGCATGTGATTTTTTTTTTTGAAAAATTGGCGGGCCAGCCCGCCTATCCCGCAGCCCGTGGCGGGGTGGGCCGGGCTGGCCATTTAGAGGCCCGCCGGGATGGCGGGCCGCCACGCCAAATGGCGGGTTTTGGCGGGCTGTGGGCCGGCCCGCCCCGCCGGCCCATTTTGACAAGTCTACCCAGAAGTTTTAGGATATTTAGAACAAGACATTTTTTTTTTCCTCCAAAATTACAAGTACATTTTCTTGATACTTGCTAGATAACCACATACCTCGAAAATTTTTGTAACTTGGCAATAATTGGATACGAAACTTCTGTATTACTCTTTATATTACCTCTCGTTTAGATAAAAAAAATGGCTGAAAAAGATTAACGATGCATGACATTTTTTCCAGAACACGACATCACTGGATAACCAGATGAAGCACCTGGTGTACTTGATCGAGAATGCCATACTTAATCTTCCGGAAGGTCAGGAACAGATGTCGTGGCTCATAGACTTCACGGGATGGTCAATAAGCAACAACGTCCCCATCAAATCTGCAAGAGACACCGTTAATATTCTCCAAAATCACTACCCTGAGAGATTAGCCATCGCATTTTTGTACAGCCCCCCGCGCATATTCGAAGCATTTTGGAAGGTTTTGCTCAATATTAATCCTAGAAATCGCACTTTTTTTTTTTCTTTCGATATATTGTGCAGTTGCTGTATTTGATACATTCACAACTCCATTTTTGCAGGTTGTGAAGTACTTTCTCGACCCAAAAACCTTCCAAAAGGTGAAATTTGTGTACCCAAAGAAGGAAGATAGTGTGGAGCTTATGAAGTTGTATTTTGACGTGGATAATCTCCCAACCGAATTTGGAGGCAAGGCCAGATTGCAGTATGACCATGTGGAGTTTTCTAGGCAGATGGCATTAGATGATGTGAAATCGGCCAAGTTATGGGGCTTGGACAAGCACCAGCCCAACGGGCTTGTTGGGCCCGAGGTTGCACCCGAGCCCGAATCACTTGCTGCGTCTGTTGGTTGAGCTGTGCAATCCGTGAATGTAACGGTATAAATAAACAGAACATGATATAGTTTTATTTGGAATCTATCTTTTCGAATATCCTTGAAAGACTGATGAAGGAAAATTGTCCGGTACTTATTGTGAAAGAAAACTGTTAGTCTCCCGTATTATTTCGTAATTATGAGAAATGCTTACAATCAGTTTGTGAATTCTTAGCCATTTTTTTTTTTTTTTGTTGTTACTCTTATTAGATCACAGAAAGCACTTCCCCTTAGCACAATCTGTGTATCATAGAAAGCCGATGGTCGAAATGGTGTTTACAGAGTTTAGATGAAGAAAAAAAACACGAAACAGAACTGGAAGAAGTTTAGATGAAGAAACAAATGGCGGTTCACAAGATACTTAAAGACATACATACATACATACATACATACATACATCTCTTATTTTCCACATCAAGTAGGAACACCAAATGCAAGCCCTAATGAATGACGCGTAATGAATTACATGAGCCGCCTTGTAATTGTCTTAGTGGTGGTTTGGTAAGTTCGGACAAGCAAACCAACTCCAATTCCGAGCCCAAGGCAAATGCCTAAGCCAATTCCCATGCCCACTCGAACGCCAGCATTGAACCAAGAAAGATCACCATCTTCTTCACCTTCCGTATATTCTGTTCGTCTCCAGTACAAACTATCATAGTCCTCACTCCCCGGTTTGTAAATTT